GGGCCTTTATTGCCTTTAATCGATAGTGACAGCTGTGGAGTGTAGAGGAAAGGGGGGAGAGAGGGGAGGATGACACGCAGCTGAGTCACACCCTTGGCTGCTGCAGCAAGGACTCAGCCCTTGGTACTGGGGCAGCCTACCAGGGCGCCCGGCAACTCAGATTAGTTTGACAGCTGAATAACTTTGCATTAAGAAAATGTCATCCTCACAGCTTTCCTTTCCAGATACTGAAATATGACCCAGATGCTAATCTTGCATAGATCAAGATAAACTAAAGTATTTGCTACATTACAAAAATGTGTGTGCTGTCGCCTTCAGAATCATTATTTTGTTTTACTGACATTTAAACAAGTTGTCTAGCTCTAACACTCTTGTTGAAGATGCATTGTACCTTTCTGTATAGTGCATTTAAAGTCACTTTAAATGTCTAACTGGGGCAACACTGCACAGTTTTGCAAAGTTTATTCTGACTGCTGTTTTGTTTTTACATCTCTCTGTCTTAAACGCGAACACGCATTATTTATTTGTGTCGGCCCACTTACACATACAGTAAACAGCCTCATACATTCACACATTTAAGTTGATACCTGGCTGTACACACCGTATGCTCTCACTCACTCATAATCAATCCTGCCACACTCCCCAACCCCTGCACTGTCTCTCTTTTATAGGCTGTACCTCATCAACTCTCCCGTAGTGAGAGCAGAGAACCTGCGTTTCAAAGAGGAGGGAGTGCGAGACGTGTTGAAGGATGTCTTCCTGCCCTGGTATAATGCCTATCGCTTCCTGGTGCAGAACGTACAAAGGTTACAGAAGGTACATGTGTAATGAGCAGAATAAAAGGTCATTACTTCCACAACTCCTACAATATTCCTTTAGCTATTCCTAGTCTACAAAAAACAGCACAGCAGTTTGTTAGTATTGTTAACCAATTACTTATTAGGTAATCTTTGGTACAAAAAGGAAATTACTTTGTTCACCACAAAGAGTAGCTCTACAGTTACTGTCCATGACCACTTTTTTTAGCCCCAGGTTTCAGCTGCATCACATCAGTGATACTGTGTCCAATCAAATTGTCAGAGGAGTGCACTAAATTATCATTTGTGTTAATGCTTCATTTAACTGTGTTTATTTGTTAGGAGGATGACATTAAGTTCCTTTACAATGAAAACACGGCAAAGCAGAGTGACAACATCATGGACAAATGGATTCAGTCGTTCACACAGTCCCTCATCCAGTTCTTCAAGGCTGAGATGGAAGGTGAGACAGACCCAAACTCACATAATACTATTCTTTTCTGGACATTGGCTGAGAAGATAACCACTTCATATCTTAAAATCCATCCCATCTGGCAACCTATTCACGTTGTTTCTATATTTAGCTTAGATAAATTAATAGTAGTTTCTTATTGCAGTTTACCACCTGTACACTGTCGTGCCTCGCCTTGTCAAGTTTGTGGACATGCTCACCAACTGGTACGTCAGGACCAACAGACGTCGTCTAAAGGTGAGATGAAACCTCTGAATCAGCGCTTGTTTATAGAGTTAATGTTTTTTTTTTATTTAGGAAAATACCTCGTGCAGGTGTTTGACAGCAGCTGATATATAGCCTATAATTTAAATGTATGGAGTCCCAGGAGTGACAATCACAAGTAGTAATAGGATCTGTTGAGTCAAAAGTATACTGGTAATTATATACATGAGTGAATAAAACAGATGATGCTGCTCTTNNAAGAGCAGCATCATCTGTTTTATTGTATCTGTATCTTTCTTATTTATTTTTATTTTTTAGTTGTTTGGATAAGCCCATGAATTATTAATTTTTTAAAATAAAAAACGTGATTTAAGCTACCACTCTTCATCTCTTCATCATAGCCTCCATCTGTGGACATTATAGCCACCAGTTTGTGGCCCTCCTGGTCAGCATTTGGTTGATGTGGATTGGAGATACATGTGCTGAGGTCTGCTAGGGCACATTTGTCTTTTCACTGTTCTGAAGGGACTGACCATATTGATGCATGTGTGAACTTTGTAGGGAGAGAGTGGCATTGAGGACTGCCTGTGGGCGCTGGAAACCCTCTTCAGTGTTCTGTTCTCCATGTGCAGGCTGATGGTGAGTCATGCTGTTTCTGTGTGTCAGTGTGTGTGAGACTGAGACAGAAAAGAGACTGTATGGAGGAGATTTGTTGTGGTGAGGTTTTACTTTGGTGCATGCAAGACACAAAGAAATAATGGTGGTATGAAGAGGTGTGTGTATGTGTGTGTGTGTGCTTGCATGGCTATGAATAATGCATGAGTAGTAGGAGTTTTTATTTATAACACATTGAAGATGTGTTTGCATGTGAGGCGAGAGGCACGCTAAGAACCAGTTAGCCTAACCCAGATCAATAAAGATCAGCTGTAAGCTATACAAATTAATTAGCTGTGGTTGAAATGGAAGAGAATCGCATTAGAAGTAACCTCACTCTCAATTCTGGCACAATTCTGTTTGAACTTTTGCACCATTTGAGGAAAAAGATCTACAGTAATAATGTGTTTTTTATGCTGACTTAATGGCTGCTTCTGACTTTTAGACCTTTATGTCAAAAAATGTAAATTAACTAACTACAGTACAGAGCATCTAAAAATCCTCTTCTCTTCTTTTTTGTCTCTCATGTCTACTCGCTTTCTTCCATCCTTCCCTTCAGGCTCCCTTCACACCTTTCATTACAGAGATGATGTACCAAAATCTTCGCCACCTCATCGACCCCGCCTCTGTTGAAGAAAAGGACGCCACCAGCATCCACTATCTCATGCTGCCCCAAGTCAGGTTGGAAAAATTCTTCAATAAAAACTTTTATTTTATTTTATTGACATGGACTGCTTCTGCCACTTACATTAAAAAGGAACTTTGAATGACTCAATCTATAAAGTATACTTACAGAACTAGATGCATCAGGATCTGTCTAATTCAGCTCACAAGGTGACATTGATTGATCCTTTAGTAATGATAGCTTTCATTTTTCTCTGTAGGGAAATCCGCTTGTTTATTTTTCCTGCTTTAGAACAGCATCAGCTACAGAGCAGCATCCCTGGATTTAATAGGATGTCTTGTTCAATGACTCTTCAGCAGTGCGGACACTTACTGAAGCCGGATTTCAACCAATTGAATATAACCAAGGTCATCTGGTTTAAAAACTGCCACTCTTGCCACACAGTCACCCTGCGGCTCACACAGCAAACCCCCCCTTGTGTTAGCCCCTTTTCTCGCAGGATATCCACTGCTGATCCACAGCCTAATCAGTCTTAGCCAAAGTGCATGGCCTTACTTTACCCCAACCGTATAACACTCTGAACTCCTCAGAGTTAAAGCTTTTGAAGCTCCGGAGTCCACAGTAGTTTCTAGATAACTGTCAGCCTTCACAGCAGCTGTTCTTTTTGTGTCTTACCCATTTTTTTATTTCATTTTGGCTGTTTGCTACCTTCCACCACTCTGATTAACTTTCCCATTTTAATATTTAATATTATACGTGTTTTGAGGGATCAATTGGTTCTTTTAAGAATCGGCTCAGAAACCACTCAAAAGCAAATATCTGCCTGCTCATGTGTCAAATGCAAGGCTCTTTGTTTCTGGGTGATAAAAGTGAATCACAGATGATGCATTTTCCACAGCGGTACAAAGTCAGTTCCAACCAACAACCAGATTCAAGACAGTGAAATCCCTGTGCACAGCCACCCTCAAGTTCACTGCTCTCTTCTCTAAAATGAGTCTAACTCTGTTTGTATTTTTAGGGTGAAACTGTTGAGGTCTTCTTTAGAGAGTGATGGGAGTGTTTGCACTTTTAACACTGACTTAGAAATACCCACACAGAACTGTCTTGATTTCCAGCTCTGCAAATGGATGTTGCTCACGACATATGATCATGTCTGTCCCTTCTCTTCAATTACTGAAGTGAAATGTGTGCTTTGGTGGCTGATCAGTTTTTGAAATGCCTTGGAGGAATTTCTAATTGCCCAAACTTAATTGCATCATCTTTAACTATACAAAAGTTCTGACATGATTAAACATCCGTTTGATTTAGCAAAAGGAAAATAGTTTGTGTAATGGTTCATATAATCCCCCTGTCACTTAGGCAGCACTCAGTGCTGCTGCTCCTTTATTAGCCGCTTGTCCTTCCTGCTGTCGAATGGGACTACTTCACCCCCTCCCAAAGGTCAGCCACCAATCAGGTGGAGGGAACAGCTGCTCCTCAATCAACTCATTAAATGATTGGCTGTCCCTGGCGTCCTCTCCTCTTTCATTTTACTCCACTGCTGTGTGCACACACAGAGGAACACACCGCAGGAGTAAATGAACAGGCATTGTGCACGTACACACATACACAGTCTATGTTCCTGCAGACAGTTGGGGCTAATATTGCTATTATGCGTGATTATCAGTGGCTGTGCAGCTCTAATTTGGATTCAGTGGTGGAAGTCTTAGTGTGCCTTATTAGCGGATGTTCCTGAGTTAAACTCTGGCACTGATGGTTATGAAGTCTGTCTTTATTTAGATGTGTGCTGGTGTGGTACTAACCTTGTCATGCGCTAATATTCATTTTCATCAGAAATGCAATTGCAATTTCCTACATCCTCTTGTTATAAGAAGGAAGCTTGGTCAGGTGGCACTCGTTACTATTGCAAAAGTCCCACCAGGCGGAGGAGTTTCTTGCTGCAGCACTTAAATGTCCCCTCCAGTATGACCCGAACTGCTCTCAAACCATGAAATTGTAAGACTACTTCTGATGTGGTGATACTCAGAAATGCCTTTATTCGTGTTTCTGTTTTTCAGGGAGAGTGTGATTGACAAGCGCATTGAGAGCGCCGTGTCTCAGATGCAGTCTGTGATTGAGTTGGGCAGAGTGATCCGAGACAGGAAGACCCTGCCCGTCAAGGTGAATCATCAGCTTTATCTATTCCAGTTCAGTGTAAGAGGTACAGTGAATTAAAACTTAAGGAAGCAGGCGGTATATCGGCTGATATTGGCTTATTGTTTAGATGTAGCGATGTCGGCCAATTAGGTAACAAGAATTTTTTAATGTAGTGCTATGAGATTTTTGTATGTTGCAAGTATCAATATTGGTATCCAGCATCAGTCGCACACTTAACATTTTATGTACCTTGAATTCCTGTAGCTCTCCTATACATTTAGGTGGTTTTGTCATATTTGTGCACAAGTTCTAGTATGGTATAGGTTTGTTGTCGTGTTAAATTAACAACACTGCTTTTGTTTATTGGAGCTACTGACCAATTGTAATGTTTGTGTGTATTTCAGTACCCATTGAAGGAGGTGATAGTTATTCACCAGGACCCAGAGGCTTTGAAAGACATCCAGTCTCTACAGAAATACATCCTGGAAGTAAGTAAACTGTCTTTTATACCAGTGTTTTCTTTCAAGGCAAGAGGCTCATCTTCTCATCTAAAGTGTTTCCCTATTTTTTCTGTTTATCATGCTTTGATCAGCACTATTAAATGTATAAGTCAAAGAGAAACGTCACCTAGAACTTTGTTGTCACTCCAAAGCCAGTATGTTGACTTTATAGGGGAGGTGTAGGATAGAGGAAGTACTTCATATGCCGTTTTTATCTTAAACTGTAATTAAAATCTGTGCTTGGTTAATTTAAAAGGGGGTGGAGCAGATGCCTTGGAAAATGATTTCACATTTGATCTGCTCCAAATGCCGCACACACAAACCCCTCATCAAATATAGAGTGCAGCCACAAGCAGTATGTTTTTATTTCCTTCAGCGCACGGAAACATTTTATTGCACTTAATCTGTTTGTGTACTTCATAGTCACAGTAATCGTTACAGTTCACATAGCTCTTCTACTGTAGGTCTTGTTTCACATGTAGAACCTACATTACTGCTGTGGCTCTGTAAGTTTACCTTTCCAGGTAAGCTGGATGTTTTTTTTGACGTTCATACAACGTATGGTATATTCAAGGACATAAGGTGCAATGTCAGGTGTAGTTTTTGTGAAAGCAGCATCGTTGTATGGTTATATAGCCAAAAGTGCAGATTAATTCAGGTGTTGTCCGAGAGACTGGGGAGAATTACCACTCAGACATTAGACAGACTAATTGTCATAGCCTTTTAGTGCAGGAAGCCATTAAACTGACATTATCCCTTTGTCTTTGGGTTTGATTTTCTACAAACAAAACTCAATAAGTTCCTCGGCTGACTCAGATAACCCCACAAATGTCTTAAATAAGAACATCTCAACCTTTTGCATGTTGTATCTGGGGATGTGGCTGCTTTTGTTCCTACTATAGTCTTACCGGGTCCCGAGCTGAGAAATGACTGATGCATCTACGATTCCCATACAATGTTGACTTGGAAAATTGACAGAACATTTACAGATTAAGGTTCACTTGTGAAAAGGGCTACTGTTGCAACCTTCTGCTGGGTCCCTTAAGCTTTATCTTAGTTCAGGCCACTTCTTATCTCTCACTCCGTTTCATTTCTGGTGGGAAAACATTTAACCTTTTCCGACTTCTAGCTTCCTTCCAGTAAACAAGGTTTATTTGATCAGAATTGAGAGCAGGCTAAGGTCCTGCAATCCAGGGAAGAACCTTCAAACTCCTACTACAATGTTGGTCTGATGTAGTTTCAATTGAACTGAGAATTTGAAAGTAAGGTAGATTAAGTCTGGATTCACCCTTTTATTGTTGCTTTTTCCTCGATTCCTTTATTATTATTCTATAATTATTACTGTTTCACAGCTAATTCTCTGTGATTGATTTAAATTGATTTTACCACTACTTAAACTTACTACAAGGAGGAGGAGATATTAATTTAGTACTGGTGCCTCTATATGACCTATATAAGCACATGAGACCATCAGCAAGCAAGAAGGTTGGCTATTTCTATATAGTTATTCTTAATGCCTGTCACCGGGTTGGATTCAGTTGGATTCCCCTTAAAATCAATTAAAAAAAGGCTGTGGAAATGCTACTGCTTTTGTCCACTGGGGCTGCCAGGATCAACTAAAAATCTCCGCTTTAAATATGAACCAATTGGGCACCTACAGATAGGTAAACAAAGTTCTGTTGTTCCAGGACCGCGCTCTCTTTAAACCTCTATGCAATGACTGTTTTTATAGTAAAATAAAATTAGTATTGCCGTTATCGACTGGCTTCCTGACTGGTTGATTTCATGGTTGACTTACTCTCTGAGTGAATTTAATTTTTTTGATCAGCCATTTGCAACACATGTCTAAAGTAATTACAGTTTTTAATTTGACTTCTACAGAATGTAACAAAGCATTTAGCTTAACTTGAGACCCCTCAGAATAGCCTTTTCTGATATATAGACTAGAGTAGCGGATACTATTGGCACCAATACTAGCACCGCCATTTTTCACAGGTTTGACCATTTTAGTGGCCAGTACTGACGTCTTGATATAGCATTTCATACAAAGCAGGGGTAAATCCTGTGCGATGCTGATTAGATTTTTATTATCTATTACTTGAGGCAAAACATGGATTTAACAAATTCTCTTAACATCCAGAGGAAGGAGTATAGGCACATAATGGGATTTAGTGTTGATGGTCAGTGGCCATTTACATTTTTTGGCTGACAAGCTTGTTGATGAATCTACTGTCGGCAGAGTTTCTGCAGAGCTCAAGTTGCTGTGAAATATTTCTACTTTTTAAGTTATCACATACACACACAGACACACAGCCATATACGTATGCCCTCAAGATGAAAGACCTTCTTTTTGTGCACTTTGCATCAACTCACTCCTTTATTCACTAACCAAGCTCAGCTCAAAACCCAAGTTCCAACTATTTTCAACCCCACGCTGGCCTGACGTTTATTACTCAGCCCACTACAGTAGCTTATCTGTGCTCTCTGTCAGCAAGTCAGTTATGCTAGAAATCACTCAGTCAACTTTTCAGTGTGATTGACTGAAAGAAGCCGTGCATGTCAGGCCAGGGTGCTTGTCAGTATGGCTAAATTTAGTATCTCTATTGCTTCACCAGATATGACTGGATCACAGATTTCTCTCTCCATTTAGATTGAAGAATAAAACATATTGAAAGGCAGAAGTATGGATTCAATAGGAGGAATGGCTCACTGACTGACTTACTGGTTGATATCATGGCTGACTTACTCTTTGAGCGAAGGACTTTCTGTAATCAATCATTGATTGTCTCTCAACAGTACATGCCTGGGGTATTTAAAGTTTTTACTTTTTGAATTAAATTAAGTTTAGGGACCAGAGTGTAGGTGTGTAAGTTAAATCCTGCACTGGTGCTTTAACGTCTGCGGTGTTGGCAGGAGAGCTTTATCTGTTTTCTTTTGGCCATGTAATGGTATAGCTGCATGTAATAAAAACATGGGGTGTTAAAAGCGATTTTATGCATAATTTAATTGAACTTTTGTGAGTTTGCAGTGCACATTACAGTTTAATTTTTTACATTTTTTTTGTTTTTGTCAAAAGTAATAACCCTGGTACAGTATACTTGGGATATTAACACTGTACAAGCAACTACAAGACAGTGACATTACCTTGACGTGTGTGTCTTTTTTTCATCCTCCAGGAGCTTAATGTGCGACAGTTAACACTGTCAACAGACAAGGACAAGTATGGTATCCGTCTGAGAGCTGAGCCAGACCACATGGTGCTGGGCAAGAGACTAAAGGGAGCCTTCAAAGCTGTCACTGCTTCTATCAAAGAGCTCACCAGCGAACAGCTAGAGGCCTTCCAGAAGACAGGTATTTCCGTGACACAAAATCTACGAACTGTATCTTTAAAAATTGCACGTGTACTGTTTTCTATACAAGTGACCACACATACCAATGACCTAATCAGTACGCAGTGATTTTGTTTACCAAATAATTAGTGAAGGTTAGCATCAGGATATTTCACACAACTGCACAATTGCCACTTATTGTGTTGAAATCATATTTATTTCACCAAAAACTCAACTATGAATCCTTGCAGTGAAGTGGGGCACAGACAGACGGCCAGTTTATCCTCAGAAGGCAAACCCTAACCCTTCTGAAACTATAATCAGAGCTCGAGTACGGATCAAAGCAGTGCAAGGTATCTTGTCTCTCCAATTATAGAAAGACGAGGAGAGCCCCCAGAGTCTCTGGGGAAGGAAGCAGTGGAGGTCAGCTGGGCTGTGGGAACTTAACATTTCCAATCACTTGGATGTTTGAAGTCTAGCCAATTGGAAGGAAAAAAAGAGGATGAGTGATGGAAGGAAAGAGATAGATGTGGGGTAGGATGGTGGAAAATGATGGAGAGAGAAAACTCACAGATGAAAATGTGTACTGCAAGGTACTGTTTCATTAATTTATGATCACAGGCGAAATGTGATGTTTCATCGCACAAAACTTGCTTTTAAGGGGCTAAACTGTATAATGTATCGCCTATCTTTGTTTAAAGGAAAAGATCAACACTGTAAATGTGAAGCTACAGCAAGCATCCAGTTATTAGCTTAGCACAAAGACTGGAAGAAATGGGGGAAACGGTAGCCTGACTCTGTCTAAGGTAACACAACGGGGAGAGTTTAGAGTTTATCTTTTAACTGATCAGTCAGTTAGTGGAAGGTACACTACGCTCTCTATCAGCTCCCATTCAGTTGAGAGTCCACTTTTAACCTCTTGAGCAATTTCTAGCTCAGCATCCATGACTCAGAAAATCTTGTTCCAATTTAGACTATGAGGGTGGCCAGAAACTGATTGTGGGTTCATGGCCATTGGTTGTATTACTCATTATTCCTCACCTGTACCTTTTGATCCCATCATTTTGACGAGGTAGAAGAAAAGAGGTTAAGAAAGAAGGTGGAAAAGTTCAGGGAAAGGAAGGAGGGACACAGGAAATCAAAGCATGGAATAGGATTAGATAGAAACAGAGTGACTGTTTCACCCAGCCTCTGGGTGCGGAGAAGTGAAGAGGAGAGGAGAACATGGTCATGGTTTTTAGTCAGAACACAGACATGGGTAATTGCTGCCACTGGCAAAATGGAGATATAAACTTGACTAGATTGCGTTCGCTGTATTGTTTAAAAGCTCATATCTCGTGTGGATGTGGCCAGGAAGACTGCAATGTAAGGAATCTCAAAGTGCAAGCAAATACCAGTCCAGACCCCAGCTAATTTAAAACAAAGCCTCGGCCTGCATGCGAGTTAAGTGAACGCTTTATTCAGTGCGACTGGGCGTAATTGAAGCCTTTTCAAGCATCCTTCTCAAGAGACGAACACAGCCAAATAAAGACTCATTTTACACAATCTGTGGCAGTTTATTCAGATTTCATTAAGAGAATAGCCAGGCGCTAAACACTTGTTAATCATTAACTTTGCAATAAAGTTTGTGGCCAGCATTGATTTAATCATAATGGTCCTTAATAATCAGTAATTTTCAAATGCATGAATGCTTCATTGTCTGTTATCAGACTGGTGGTATTTTAGTTTTTACCAATCTCAAGAGCAAGAATTGAGGATCCTTTTAGATCTTTACAGAGAAAGATGTGAAAATCAGTGTGTTTCATTTGTCCACTTTAATTATTATGTTACAAAAATGTTATCACTTAAGGTCAAAAACTTTCATTATTAGATGTCACCCCAACTGATTGTGTACTGAAACATTTTTCATGATTAACTCTTCAGGCCATCACATAATTTTGTCCTATATGATTGTTACCAAGAATATCCCGACCCAAGAGGAAAATCTTAATATTTGTAGGAGCAAACATTTTAATGAGTATAAAATGAGTATGGTTTGACTTTTAATGGAGACATTTGTATGGACTGTATAATTTATGGTGGTTCAGAAACAGGGTAGGGTTTCATGTTATTGTATGAATATGTGAACTATATTGAATGCTGCCATATAATGATGTTTCATTTTATGTTCAGTACCATAAATGTACGGAACAACATTTTAAAATTATGGTGGTTAACTTTAAGGGTCCATCATGGTGGACGGCCATGAGCTCCATGAGGACGACCTGAGGCTGATGTACACCTTCGACCAGAGCTCTGGCTCTGCCACTCAGTATGAAGCTCACTCTGACGCACAGGTATGCTTGAAGTTTAAACCCAATCATTTTGGCAGTAGATACCTTGGCATGAAGATTGAACACCCTTCAGGAAAAAAGGATCAAAAAAAGATTCTTGATTTTTCTTCTTTCAAACGTAGCGTCCCTGTTAAACTTAAGGAATATATTGTATAGATAATATGAGGCTACTCCTCACATGACTGCCTTCCAGCAGTTTAAAAATAGAAAGTCCTCTTATTTTTTTGAAATTACTGGATCTAATGTAAACTCTACAAAGTTTAAGAAAATGTGTAGTATTGCTAGTTTCTGTTGTAGAGCTCATATTTGTACAGAAAATGGGAAGAGTCAAGAAATTGGTTGGCTAATATTAATAATTATAATATGCTTTTTATTCTTACATTCTTTTATTAAATCAGTAGTTTGACTTTTTGGAAATGTCAAACTGAGAGTTACATGAGAAGTAACCTCCAGCAGCCACTTAGATTAGCTTAGCTTAGCTTAGCACAAAGACTGGGGGAAACAGCTAGCTTGGCTTTTTCCAAAAGTAACAAAGTCTACGAACCAGCACCTGTAAAGCTCATTTGATAACACATGTCATGTCATGTTGACATGTTGACATGTTGTGGTTTTGCAGGGGGTTTATGTGCCAGACTATTTCTTGGCAGCAACTTCCTGGAGTCCCCACAAGGTTGCCAAACAACCAGTGGAGATTTCAGGAAGTAACTGCACCCAGCCAAGAAGTAGTCCAGCCTTTATGCAACACTAAGCTAATCATCTCCTGGCTGTAAGTTCATATTTAGTACAGACATGAGAGTGTTATCATTCTTCTCATCTTAGTTCTTTTAAATGTCTTTTAAATGCATTTTATTTTCTTAACTATAATATTTATTCTTAAATTTGGTGCACCCCATTATTATGGACTGTATCGCACATATTTTTAAACTAATGAAATTTGATAGACCATTAGTGTACTTTAATTATCATTATTATTATTATTAAGAATGACCAAAATTAACAAACAATTCATCAATTCTTTCTAAGATTGTAGTCACTCGTTAACACACATGAAAAGGTATAGAAATACACACACAGACGCTCTCTTCTACCCTTCTCTCCTACTACTATACATTACTAACTTTTGAGCTACAAGTTTAAAGTAACCAGATCTAAAAAAAGATAACTAAATAAATGCTCCTGCACCAAGCTGCCATATACTGTAAATGCAGTTATGTGTCTTTACTGTGAGTGTGATGTATGAAATCATTTCACGGCTAAGTGGAAACCAGCATGTATGCGTTTCCCACAGGCCCACTCTAATCAGTGCTCCTCCAACCGTATACACACCACACGGCTGCACCTAAATACCAGTTTACTGAGCTGGCTTTTTAATTCTCTCTGTTACTCTCGCTCGCTCGCACCGACTCTCCGGCACCCATCTGTCTGTTCTCTCTCTCAAATTCTGTTTCTCTGTTTGCTTTGTGCACTTTTCTCTGTCACCCTGTCATCTCTTTCCCTCCTTCTTCACATGGTAAAGTGTTCGGGGCTGGCAGCAACTCAGCCTTACACAACGTGACACTCATTTTACTTTAGTGACTCACACAGACAATATTGTCATTGCTTGGTTGGTTGTTTTTTCTTTTTAATCTTTATATTAGAAATATTTGGATTTATTTAATAAAGATTGCTTATGCTTATGCTGTTACGGGTTTTTGCCCCGCCTTTTCCAGTTGTATAGTTTGTAGCATGAAGGAGTCTTACTCAGTGGCTACGGTAAGCACATGATACCCGAGGATGAATAGGGTAATAAGGTTGTCACATCATGTGAAATTCTGTCACTCTGTGTTACTATGCTGTCAAATTCATATTGGAGTAATTATGGTGTTTACATTATCAGAGTAAATGAAACTATGTTCATTTTAAATTTCCATCAGTCAACATTAGTGTGTAAGAGCACAAATATGTAATTCATGCCTCAACTTCAACATTACAAGTGGAAAATCAATAAAGATTTTACAACTGCCTACTGTTGACTAATATTTGAGTAGCAGTTAATATCAAATATTTGCTCAAATGTTAAAATTTTGATATTTGTGCTCAAATACACAATGGTGGAGCCATTCGTAGGGTTGGGTTGGCCAGCCTCAGGGCAGTACTCACTTTGGAGTGGCACAGAAATGATGTTTTTTCTGCATGGCAACCGTATACAAACCACACAGCTTCACCTTAACGCCAGTTTACTGAGCTGCCTTTTTAATTCTCTTCGTTACACTCGCTCACTTGCACCAACTCTCCAGCACCCATCTGTCTGTCTCTCTGTTCTCTCTCTCATATTCTGTTTCTCTGTTTGCTTTGT